TTTTTACAGGAATTCAAATTGTCCAAAGTTCCCTGCTTCACGCACACCCTCCCCCCACCACGTTTCCTTTACCACCATCTCTGACGAGACCAGAAGCTTGAGTGTACAGGAGACAGGTAATATTTGTTCAGAGTTCTGAGCCTTGTGCAGTGTCCAGCAAAGAGGGCCAAGATGCTTCCTGAACGCACGAGTATTGCATTGCGCCGCGTGGACACACTTAGAAACGACCCGTCTGTCCCGGGGTGGGCGGGGATTTTGTGCAATGGGCCAGAGTTCAGTGCTGTCCGTTTTGGGGGCATCTGGGCTTTACCACAATGGCTGAGGGCGGCCAGGCGTCATGACAGGGCCTGGCCTGGCTCCAGGAGAGCTTCCTTTACAAATCCCCGCAGGGAGCTGGCTCTGGCCTCGAGCTGGGGTTCACCAGATGGATCAGGAAGCACACGCTGGAATCTTACAGCTAGATGTTCAGAAACTGCTGGGGGAGAGGGAGGCCAGAGACAGGGCTCCGGGGTCTGTAACTCCCACTTCACGGTCCACCAGACCCGGCAAGGCCGCTTCCAACCTGCCCTGGCCTCGGGGGCAGCAGCCTTTCAGCTGGTGGGCCGTGTGTGGAGGTGAGCTGCGTCGGGGCCACACCTGGCTCCCCAAACCCGGTGCGCCCTGGCCTGCGCTGAGCACCGGTGACTCGCGCCATCATCGGAGCCATTCAGGAGGCCGAGATCGGAGGACCGAGGGTCAAAGCCGGTCCAGGCAGGAAAGTGTGGGAGGCTCTCGCCTCCGATCAGCCACCAGAAAGCAGGAAATGAGGGCTGTGGCTTTAGTGGTAGTGTGCCAGCCTTGAGTGAAGACACACAGCAAGAGCCCGAGGCCCCAAGGTCAGAACACACTGCACACACACAATGCACACACACACCCATAAAAACGGGGAAACCCAGTCATCCTATGGTCCGTCTGAGAAGTTGAGACAGCCACTGAGCACAGTATGTATCCCTACTTACTGCATCGACAGACAACGCCCCCCCCCCAACATAACCTAATAGGCAGAATTAAAGCAGCTTGGTCTTCCATGCAAGCATTTTTTGGCTAGGAAGTACTCCTGTTTCTTATCTTGTTGAAGGTGAAAAGTATGACAAAGGCAGTAGCAGAAGTACAGATTTGTATTGACTCTTGAGCGGAGATCAGAAAGATGACTCTCCATGCTGAGCACATTTCAGGAGATGAGAGAAATCTGTGTCTTTTAAATCAGCTGTTAAATATCCCAATGACCAGTGAGTGGGCTGGGCTGCTGGCCGCCGTGGCCAATGAGAAGCGACCCCGGGCTGCAAACAGGAGTTTCTAGAGAAGCCCGGGAATGGGTGAAAAGAAGCCAGGAAACCAGAAGTTTGGGTGAAACAGTCTTAAGTAGAGAGTCATCGTGGGAGCTCTCTGCCCCTGAGGTCATCAACTTAGGCAGAGAAAAGGGGTTTTGGAGGCCTAAGTCCAAGATCGACTGGCCTCGTTTGCCGTGGGCATCCTGATGAGGGTGGTGGGCAAAGCTGCTTGTGGCGGCCAGGAAACGGTGGAGGACGCGCCTCCTGCCAGGGAATCCCGCCTCATTCATTCATCAACACACAAAGTGCTGTCATTATTAAGGTGATGCACACCGGGATCGCCGTTGTGAATCACACGTCATGAGTCCATTTCTTTTTGGGCAATGTCATTCCTTGAAGTCATTTTTTAAAAAAGTACGCTAGCTGTGCTTTAAAAATGTATTTTATAGTTCTGTTGAAGGAAGGATCAGGTCTGTGTGTACCAGCTCAAAGTTGCTGATCATTCACACACCCTCTGTATCTTTCCTAGTTTTTTAAAAACCCTACCAGTTACTCAGAGAAGTGTGCTAAAATCTTCCGTAAGATGAAGATGTGTCCATTTCTCCACTTTGACCTGTGAAGTTTGCTCTATTTTGAGCCTATGTTGTTATCTGTTATCTTTATAAAGCTTAAGAGCAGTATAGCAGTATTTCCTTAAACTTTTGACACTTGAATCTTCCCCCCACCCCCGCCTTGTAGACCTGGTGCGCCTCTTACCTTAACACTACTTTTATACCTGTCCGAGCAGACACTTGAAACAGTATCAGCTTACGTTTTTATCATCGACAACAGCTTGGGCATCTTGATCCATCTTACTGTGGCATCTGTCTTGGAGCCATCGTGTCTTTCTTGGGGTTGGCTATCTGGGGTGTATGCTGAACAGATATTTGAATTCTCCCCAGCAAATGCCATGCTTTTTGATGAATACATTTGTGTGCCCTTCTATACAATTGCGAGTGTGCTTATGTGTACATTTATAAATTCTAGCTTCCATATATGAGAGATGCATACACTCGTTGTCTCTCTGGGGCTGATTTACTTCACTCAACGTAATTTTTTCCAGTCCATCCATTTTCTTTGCAAAGGGTAAAATATCATTCTTCGTAATGGATGAGTAAAGTTCCATTGTGTATATACACCACGTTTCCGTGATGCATTCATCCATTGAGGGTCATCTGGGTTGTTTCCATATCTTGGAGAGCCTGACTCTTAGAGTGAGCAGATATAATAAAGGATTTGTAGATATTTGGAACGCTCCTCATCATGTAAAATCCAAACCAAATACACAGGAATTAAACATTATAAAGAATAAAGTAAAACAACCAGAACCAGTGAGAGCAGGAACTTTTGAACAACCCACTTGGATTTTTTTAAGTCAGTTTTTCTCACAATAGGTATGTCTAGGTGAATTGGCCTCATTTTGTCTTTCCAGAATTCCTGCATGTATTAAAACAGCATATTGTACTCCTTCAATACACACAACTTTAATCTGCCAATTAAAAACACATCAGTAACGACTCAGAAAGTTCATGAAAATGCTTAACAACGCTGTGCTGGGTCCATGATTTGGGGTTGAAATTACCTCCAGCGGATGGGGCAGCCGGCTCTGACCCAGGCAGGGCACTCCACCGGCCCGGGCGGCGATGGTGTAGGAGCCTTTGTGTTTGGCCTGGTGGGGGCTGGACAGCTGCTGGGCTCTGGGCTGCAGCCAGAAAGGGCCACGGTGCCGTCCCCAGCAGCCACGAGGCCCTGCGTGGCCAAGCCCCCGCCGGTGGGCAGCTCCTGCTCCTGCTGGCCTGGGATTCTCTGAGCCACAGCCCTCCTGGAGGCCGTCTGTCTGTCCATGTTGTCCCTTCAGTGCAGGGCTGGGCTGCTCTTATCTGAGGGAGGAGGAAAGGGCAAGTCACTGGGGGCCTGGGCGCCGTCTGGGGCCCTTGAGTGTTGCTCTGGTCGTGTTTACTCCGCGGAGCGTCTCTTGCCTCTCTCCCTCCCCCGTCTTGTCCTTGGCACAGAGGGGTGGGCGGCTTCCTCTCAGCAGGCTCTGGCCCCAACTGCCTGGCCCACCATACACATCTGCCTCCCGGATGCTCCATAGAGCCCGGGGCCTCCAGACCCCCCAAGTCTGGCCTTTGCCCCCTCCTCCTGTGCGATGAGCAGTTCCGTCTCCAGTGGCAGAGCCTTGCTGTGCACAGGTGCACGAGGAGGTGCCCCGGGGGACGAGGCCCCGAACACACACACACACACACACACACACACACGCACCCACGCACGCGTGAAGGTCACCCGTCTCAAGGGCGCTAGATTTCCCTGGTGGGCGCTGTGCGCACTGTGTCTGAGACGCGCCTCTGCTCCTGGCGGTGGCTCGGGACCCGTGGCTCGTGGGGGCTCCCCCCGCTTTCACATCACCAGGACAGAAGACAGACAGATGGCGACTTAGGCTCACGGCATCTTTTGGACGTCCTCCCCTGCCCCCATCCCCAAAGAGAGCCTGAAGTCACTTGCCCTCGGGTCATTCGGCTGGAGTGCAGCGTGTGTCTTGGTGAGGAAGGGAGCAGAGGGGGGCCTTGTGCCCACGTTCTGGCCTTTGCCTGGCTGTACCAGGGACGGGAGCAGCCTGGATAAGAGGCACAGAGGCGGGGAGGGGGAGGGGCCCTCCTCTGGACCGCTCCCAGTGCCCTTGGGCCCCCTCCCTTGCGTTCCTTGGCTGTGGTTTTCTGTTCCTTGGCTGTGTTTTCTGTTGCATGCGCTCAGTGCCCCCAGTGTCTGTGGAATGCACACGTCTGTACCACCTGCCAAGCAGGTCTGGAGACGCCGGGCAGGAGGGCAGGCGGCCTCTCCTGACCGTCATGGAGACAGAAAGGGACAGGGGCGTTTTGAATTTGGAGGGTGTCTCAGCGGCAGACCGCCTGAGGCTGCTTTGGAGTGAGGGGGAAGGGAGGGAGGGAGGCGACCGGGCTTTTCTAGGCAGTGCTAGAACATTCTCTCTGACTTGGTCCATACTGGTGGGTGGATTCGATACCAAGGCCTAAAGTTTAGAAGAGTCTCTGGCCTTGTGCTGACTTCCACTGATTAAATGAGATGATACAGAGCCTCCAGCACACTGTAAGTGGCCGGTAAGTGGCAGCTGCTCTGATAACAATAATCACGATAATTCTGACCTGCATAACAACTGCAATTGGGGCACTCACTATTTAATAACTGGGCATAGTAAACATACCCATGGGTGGCTTACTGGGGCTGGGTGTGTGTGGGGGTGTGTGTGTGTGTGTGTGTGTGTGTGTGTGTGCGCGCGCGCAATGGCAGTGTTTCTCCAGTGGGAAACAATGTTGTCAGCAAAGCATGAGTTCAGTACTTCCTGCGTAAACAAAAGTGCTCTAGAAAGTAAAATCTGGTGGTTTTTTTGTTTTTTTAGAAAGGAGAACGGCTGACAGTTGGTGCTGGGGGAGGGCAGTTCAGGGGGTCCGTCCCGCCCTGGCTGCTGTACCCGCGGCCTGGCCTGGCACTGTGCGCCTGGGGCCATGTGTGGTGGTCTCCGGAGCTCAGCAGCCTCTTCACCCCACGCATCAGGGCCGCGTGTCCACCGCCCTGCATGGGATGTCCCTCACCCACAAGCCGCCCTGGCCTGACGGGGCTTCTCTCTCCTTGGAGCAGGAACACGCCCAGCTCATCAGGGACGTGGAAGTGGACAAGGTCTCGGCGCTCTCCAGGGACCAGGTGGCAGCCATCAAGCAGCTCTGGCAGGACCCCGGCATCCAGGAGTGCTATGACAGGAGGAGGGAGTACCAACTCTCCGACTCGGCCAAGTAGTGAGTGCCGCTCCCCCCTGCGGTCCCCCCGCGGTCCCCCCTGCGGTCCCCCCCCCCGCGGCTCTGTCCTGCTCCCCGTTATTACTTGGTGCTCGCTCAGTACTCTGTGGACTAAATCTAGCCTCTGCCTTTTCTCTCTGTTTCCAGGGGAGGCTCACTTCAATGGGAGGCTCATCTGGGGGGGGGGGCTGAGGTTATAATCTGAGCAAGGGATTGCCGCTGGCCCCGCTTCCCCATCCCGCTGCCGTTCCGGCCTGTGGGAGAGGACAGCAGGTTGCTGCCCTGAAACCTGAGTATCCGCTTAGCTCAGCAGTCAGCTGGTCTGGTGCTTCCCTCTAGTGGCCGAGAGAGGGACCTGCAGGCCCAATACACAAGCCAGCGTTCCGGGCTGCCATACTTTTCTCATTGTTATCATAAAGGTGATTGATGTACAGAGGGGTTACAGGTACCTAAGTCAGAAAAAGAGTACATTTCCTTTTGGACTTTCCTTTGCACATTCCATTTCCTTCACGCTTTCCAGTTTTCCCCTTCCCATTCCCACCCCCAAACTGTACAGTTCATTCTCGACATAGTGTCTAATGAGAGCCACTGCTACATTTGTTCACTCTTTGCCGGCTCCCATCTTACTGTATTTTGGATCTATAAAACCCTCAGGTTTCTCATGTTATCTTTTACATTAAAGCTTTCATTAGTTTTGTTATTGTTAAAGGTGGTGTACAGCTATGCGCTGGTGGCTCACGCCTGTACTCCTACTCAGGAGGCTGAGATCTGAGGATCATGGTTCAAAGCCGGCCCAGCCAGAAAAGTCTCCATGACACTCTTATCCCCAGTTAACCACTCAAAAACCAGTAGTAGAGCTGTGGCTCAAAGTGGTAGAGCATAGCCTGAGTAAAAGAGCTCAGGACAGTGCCTAGGCCTTGAGTTCAAGCCCCACAACCAACAAAAAAAGTGTGATGTGCAGAGAGTTTTGTCTTGTGTGTGTGTGTGGGGGGGGTGGTCCTGGCGTTTGAACTTAGGACCTAATGCTTGTTAAGCAGGCAGTCTACTATTTGAACCATGTCTAAGCTATCCGTTCTAGTTTTAAATCCAGAAGTAAGAATTGATTGAGATGGTTCTTTTTATTATTATTATTATTTTGGTTTTTGTCGGTGGTGGGGCCTGAACTCTGGGCCTGGGCGCTGTCCCTCAGCTCTTCAGCTGAAGGCTAGCACCCTACCACTTGAGCCACAGCACCACTTCCGGCTTTTTCTGCTTATGTGGTGCTGAGGAATCGAACCCAGGGCCTCATGCATGTGAGGCAAGCGCTCTACCACTGAGCCACCTTCCCAGCCCCTGAGTTGGTTCCTGTACGGACTGCCCCATGCGGATCACAGTCAGCACCAACGTCCGGTCACTGCGCAGAGCTTGGTCCTGTCTGAAGAGCTGTTTCTGCTGCTCAGCACCTCCCTCCTGACCGCAGACACTCATGAGTCGCGTGCGGTCGGGCAGCCCCGGGACCCGTGCCCGTCCCCTCAGTGCTTGTGATCCTTGCCCGCAGAGCAGAGCTCGCGTGAGTGCAGTTTACCTGCCTTGGAGCAAGGTGGAGGGCGGGAAAGGAAACAGGACCCCTCTCTGTGGTTTCTCTGGCTTCCCTTCGGTGTTTGACCAGGCTGAGGGTCAGTGCCATCCATCCAGACTGGAAAAAGTACAGGAGGAAAGAAAAAAGCTTTAAGGCAGGAAGAGAAAAGAAATCCCCGTAGTGTTTGTTAGATCAGCCTGGAGAAGGAAGCGTGCCGAGGAAGGGCAGCCTGCCCGGCAGCCTGCGGAGGCGGAGGCCGGTCAGCGAAGGCCCCTCCTGGCCTCCCCCTTACGCTGCTTGGTGTTCCAGGCTCTGTGAAGGCCCCGGGGCCGAGGCTGCGTTGGACAAGGCCCACCGGCATGGCTGCAGAATTCCGTACGATCCTGAAAGCACAGGAGAGTGCACCAAGAGCAACGTGAGGTCCAGTCAGGGTGGCGGACGCTTTGCCAGGACGCTCCAAACCCAGAGCCTCGCGGCCTGCAGAATGCAAGGCTCTTGAGCGTTTCCTTGGTCTCGGCCAGTAGTGCTCCACCATCTGCTAATAATATCTGCTTATCTGGACGTGTGTTGGCATCACCCAAATTTGAATGCCTGTGCTGTCCCAGGGAGTGTGTGGGGAGAGCTGCGGTGGGACTTACGCTCTCCCAGGAAATACACAGTCTGGTGGTGTGAGTCTGTAATCACACACGAAAGCGAAGGATTTCCTCTCTTACTGCAGAGGCTACATTTGCAAGATCCAACTCACACTGGATGCCTGAAGCCAGAGGCACCAAATTACACACACACACACACACACACACACACACACACACACAAATATGTTGTCCTATCTTTTTTTATAGACATATACCTATGATATAGCTTATAAATTAGGCATAGGAAAAGATTAGCAGCAGTCATGGTCATTTATATCAGTCATAACATAGAGCAGCGATTGGCTGGTCTCTAAGCTGAATAAGTGAATGTGGACAGACACGCCGCTGTAGGGTGGCAGGGCATACGGTGTGGATTTGCTAGAATGGGGTGAATCCTGCCAGGCTGGGTGGGGGAGGGGTAGCGCAGGACGGTGTGGGATTGTTGTGATACGCCGATGACACTCCACTTAGAACGGGCCAGTTGGTAACCTGGCTCTGCCCAGTAAAAACCACAATGAGTGGATTAGGGCTTGTTTGTTCTTGGTATTTTTCCACTTTGTATTTTGGGTGAGACTGTGTGAGGGCTCAGGTGAAGGGTAGGGCCACGCCAGGCCGAGGGTGAAAAGCCCTGCTCGTTGGACTGGGCCAGAGGCTGGCTCCCTGAGCTTCATGGTGGAAGTGAGCGGGTTCTGTGTGCCGTTTCTGGAGGCATCTTCAGGCCAACCCGCTCGGAGCTCCCGCTGCAAGGCTGGGCTGGCGACGCGGGGGCTCCAGGGCGTCTGAGTCACTCACTGTGCTAACACGGCCTTTTTTTAAACCTCAACATTTCCATTCACTAGTCTCACCAGAGGATTGCCCGCAGCGGAGCGATGGGTGCGCGCAGAGCCTCGGTCTCCCGCCTCTCAGCTGCACACGTGCCTCCCGTTCTGCCGTCACCATTCCTTTCCTTCTTTTTATAATTTCACCATTATTATGACTCATAAGGGGCTCAAAATGTATTTTAAAACAATGGTCTCTCATTTCAATACAGAAAGATGTGTCTTAAGCCCAGGACTTTCATACGAGGTCCAAAGTCCTCTTGAACACAAATGTAGACTTGTTTTAGGAGGTGTTGGTTCAGAGGAGAATGCGTCATTTTGAAAGGCTTGCTCCCAGATAGCCGTCCCGGGGGGAGCGGGGCTGTCCCCTGGGCGGATAGTCAGGGACCGCGTCCACCTCCTCACAGCCACAGACAGGAGATGGGCAGAGGGGCCCAAGAGGTGCCAGAGATGTGCAGATTTCCCAGAAGGATGGACATGCCCCCTTCTCTCTCTCTCTGTGTCAGTTGTGGGGCTCTACCACTTGAGCCACAGCGCCACTTCCGGCCTTTTCTGCTTTGTGGTGCTGAGGAATGGAACCCAGGGCCTCCTGCATGCGAGGCAGGCGCTCTCCCACTGAGCCGCCTGCCCAGCCCCCCTTGTCTTTAAGGAGTCTCGGTTCCCCATTTGTTCCGTCACAGCTACCTGAGCGATATCGACCGGATCGCCATGCCATCGTTTGTACCCACACAGCAGGATGTGCTGCGGGTCCGCGTGCCCACCACTGGCATCATCGAGTATCCGTTCGATTTGGAAAACATCATCTTTCGGTACGTCTGTCTCAGCCCCAGTCCCTTCAGAGTTTTGCCTGTCTTCTTGGAAGTGCCCACATGGAGTCTTACCTGTGTTATCTCCACCCAGGGTCCAAAAAGGCCAAGGCGGCAGGAAGAATGCTTGCCTTTCTGTTCCATCTCTGGCTTAGCTTTTTCACTCAATTCTGACACTCTACCATTTGAGCCACAGCACTGTTTCCAGCTTTTTGTTGGTTAGTTGGAGATAGGAGTCTCTTAGATTTGTCCTCCGGGCTGGCTTTGAACCTCGATCCTCAGATCTCAGCCTTCTGAGTAGCCAGGATTACAGGTGTGAGCCACCGACGCCCGGTGGATGTCTGCATTTTCTGTCTGGAGTATTGAAATAACTTCTTGCCCAGTGTCTCCAAGCAACCTGCTGGAGTCAGTTTGATATCTGTCTTCAGAAACGATATTCGCATTTTATACTTGCTTTGTTAGGAATCAGCCAGTGGTCTCTCAACCGCCCAAATCAGCACCAAACAAACACGTCAAACTTAAGACCTTGCTTCACTTTGTGTGTATGTGCGCACACGCGTGACCAGTCATGGGGCTTGAACTCAGGGTCTGGGCGGCGCTGTCCCTGAACTCCACTTCTGGCTACTTGGTAGTTAGTTGGAGATAAGAGTCTCACGGACTTTCCTGCCACAATCCTCATAGTTCAGCCTCCCGAGTAGCCAGGATTTACAGGAGTGAGCCTCTTCAAGACCACACAGACACTGCTAGAACGGCTCATGTCCCTTGCTTCGTTGCATTCCAACCTTTTGTGATCGTCTACAGGATGGTGGATGTCGGTGGCCAGCGATCCGAACGGCGGAAGTGGATTCACTGCTTCGAGAGCGTCACCTCCATCATTTTCTTGGTTGCTCTGAGTGAATATGACCAGGTCCTGGCTGAGTGTGGGAGTGAGGTAGGCGCTCTGGGGAGAGGGGAGGCGCTGGGGGAGGCGCGGCTCTGTGGGTGCTCAGGAGCTGGCCAGGGCAGACTCCCTTCCTGAGACTAAACCGTCTTGGCCTGGCAGCACAGCGTCAACTACACGCTTGTTGGATCTGTGAACTACGGAAGGACGCCAGGCCCATTACTAACACAGAGCCTGCATCTAAGCAAGGTCTCAGGAAATGTGTCACTGGACAAGAAGGGTTCATTCTGAGAAACGCACTGCTAGGCGATTTCATTGTCGGGTGTGCAGCTCACAGGCACAAGTGTGTACTTGTTCCTGAGCCACAGGCCTGTTGCACACGTTACTGCCCTGCAGAGGGTAGGCAATCGGAACGCAGCGTCGGAAGGTAGGAAACACTGGGACGGTCCCGTGAGAAGCGGGCGATGGCTTTTAGCTGCATTTTAAACGTAGGGGCCTCGCCTTATTCACATGGTTCTGTGTTCACCCGGGAATGAAGGGCGTAAGATGGGACCGTCCCAGTCCCCCTGTGACATTGAGGATATTTTCTCTGGAGTGCTCAAATCCTCCATGGGGGTTTTCTCCTTTCATAAGTAGACCTTGGAATGTGCCTCTTGTTTCTAGGAAGTCAAATCAGTGAAGAACCTCTGCTCAGGACTGGGCAGTCACTGTGAACCAGTCATACCTTACATTTCTTCTAAGCAGACTTTTTTTGCCCTGAGAAGTATGGCTGCATTAGCTAATGGAAGATGAACACAGTTACTGCTGCTGCTGTGCAGAGTAGAGATCGTTACTGCTCAGGCTTCCCAGTGGGATATCCAGTTATCAACAGAACTAATCGGCTCCAAATTTGTTCCAGGATTTACTAGTTTCTCAAGAAATGTAAACGATTAGTTGAGTGTCGTGGCTCACAGCTGTAATCCTAGCTAACTCAGGAGGCTGGGATTAGGAAGAGTGTGGTTTAAAGCCAGTCAAGGAAAGAAAAGTGCAATTCCATCTCCAAAATACCCAGCTAAAAGCAAGACTGAAGGCACGGATTAAGTGGTAGAGCATGAGCCCCAGCCCAGTACTCATTAGATGGACAAGGCAGCACTATCGCTCAGCCTTGGAGAGGACTTACACAGTTGCCATTCCAGACTTGCCCTTCCGGGAACAACTAATGTATTGTACCAGCTCTTTGTGCTGAACAGGAATTTTCCGACATTGCACTTCTTGGAGAATGGAAAAGGAGTGGTGCAGGGAAGTGGAATTTATGGCACAGATCTCTGAAATGCGGAATGAAGCCATGTTTTCATGCTCCCTTCGCATCAGTATTGCTGTCTACAGTGACCATCACTAGATGTGATCTGTGTGCGCATGTCTTCCATCAACAAAGCATAGCTAGCAAGCCCTGCTTGCTAGTGTTTTATGTTCAGAAATTATTACTATCTTTGTGAATCATCTTCACCAGATCCCATTATTATATGGGTTTGGAAGGTTACTTACATTTTCTCAACAGCAGTATGGCTCACCCAGTGAATGGGGACACTCTCCACTTGTAGTGTGAGCTCAGAACAGGCCCTCGGCAGCAGCTGCTCCTTGTGGGCCAGGGCTAGCATTGCAAAGGTCCCTAGGGCTGGTGGCCCGTGTGGCAGAGGGGTCCTTCTTGTGACTGCTTCCCGCTGTCTGCAAACCCACAGCCTAATGGCACGCTCAGCTCTGAAGCCACACATCCCCTCTGGACAGCCCGGCGGTTTCCTGACACTTGTCAAATGTATGAGCTTTCCTGCTCCAAGCTGCATGAAAGCATGTGTGCGCACATGTGTGTGCGTGAGCGCGTGCATGCATGCACGTGCTTCAACCCTAAGGCTCAAATTCAGAATCTGGCTGCTGTCCCTGAGCTTTTGTGCTCAAACCTAGCACTCTACCACTTGAGCCACAGTTCGTTCCACTTCAGATTTTCAGTGGCTAATCGGAGATGAGAGTCTCATGGACTTTCCTACCCGGGCTGGCTTTGAACAGTGATCCCAGAACTCAACCTTCCTGAGTTGCTAGGATTGCAGGCGTGAGCCACTGGCACCTGGCCTTTTCTGCTTTCTTTACATGATGGGCTGGGTGCTCAGGAGATGAAATCCAGGTATGATTATGTAGTAAGAGGGCAGGAGAGGGGCCAAAGAGAAACAGAGGTCCAGTGCCCTGTGCGGCCAGGTGCTCAGCAGCTCCAGCAGTGCCCGGCGGGGAGAGAAGGCCCACAGAGACACTAGCTATTTCCCATCTGTTGTTTTTCTTTCTAGCTTGTTCTAATTCCCTCATTCCTCACTTAGAATCGCATGGAAGAAAGCAAAGCCTTGTTTAAAACCATCATTACCTACCCCTGGTTTCTGAACTCATCGGTGATTTTGTTCTTAAACAAGAAGGACCTTTTGGAAGAGAAAATTATGTACTCTCATCTAATTAGCTATTTCCCAGAATACACAGGTAAGCGCTCCCTGGGGAGTTCTCACTGGGCCCACCCCCTGACCTGACTCCTGTACCGTGCCCAGAATCCACCTGTCAGTCCTCCGCCAGCTCAGGCCTCTCGAGCTCTCCGCGAGGCCTTTCTGGCTCTTCCCTGTTCTTCCGCCTGCATTGGCGTGCACCTTGACGCCCCTTATGTGGCTGACTCTGTACCTTGCTCTGCTGGCCACCGAGCTCTCCCCTCAGTCAGACTCCAGAGACTGTGCCCATGTATACCAGAGCACCTAGAGCTTCACTGGGGTTCAGAGGAGTTCTCATCCTGTTGTTAATTATTCCTAGCATAGGAGGTCTTAGATCTTACTAAGCTTGACATTACTATTTAGAGGGCAAGTATTTCAACATTGTCCTTTGTCTCATTATCCACTCTGGCTGTGCAGTTTAGAACCCTCAGGCTCTAAAATCCACGAGAGGATCCACATCTCTTTGTAGGTAGCCTAAAATCAGAAGAATGAATTGGGCCATTATTTCGAAGCAAATCACTTTACAGTTCAAGTTTTAGATACTAGTGGGCATTTGTCACATACAAATAAAAAGACACACTTTCTGGGAGCTGGTGGCTCATGCTTGTAATCCTAGCTACTCTGGAGCCTGAGATGTGAGGATCATAGTTCAAGGCCAGCCCGGTCAGAAGTCCGTGAGACTTATCTCCAGCTAGTCAACAGAAAACTGGAAGTGGCACTGTGGCTCAAATGGTGAAGCACTGGCCTTGAGCTGAAGAGCTGAGGGACAGCGCCCAGGCCCAGAGTTCAAGCCCCACGACTGACCAAAAAAAAGGAACAGGGACTCAGGTAAACTTTACCTGAAAATAGAGCAAAGGAAGACCCTAAGTAAAATGAGGACATTCAAAGATGATTCCAGGGAGGATGTATCTTTTCTGTGTTCATGGCCAGGACCAAAACAGGATGTCAAGGCTGCCAGAGACTTTATCCTGAAGCTCTACCAAGACCAGAATCCTGACAAGGAGAAGGTCATCTACTCCCACTTCACATGTGCTACGGATACAGAGAACATCCGTTTTGTGTTCGCTGCCGTCAAAGACACCATTCTACAGCTGAACCTACGAGAATTCAACTTGGTGTAGCAGGGCTGCCCACAGTGCCGCCACAGGGGGCAGAGCTCGCCAGGGCTTCTGTCCCCCAGACAACACGCACGCCACAGGGACTGGCCTGGGTAATGGAACTTGAAGACGTTTGAGTTGACCCGTTCTTTTCAGTCTTTTCAAGTTGTTTCCTTTTCTGAGTGTGTTTCTTGCCTTCTGGATAGTGTGTTCAATTTTGGATTTTGTATATTTGAAAGGCACCCGTGATTTACAAAAAAATTTGATTTGGTGTTTCATGGTAAGCTGGAAGGGATTAAGAGGGGCTTGTTAACTTATATGCCAGGCCTTCCGCCTTCTATGACGAATTTTTTTTTTAAAAGAATGTTTAATGGGCTTCATGCTCTTTATTAAATTATATATAGTAGACTGATTTTGAGTTTTCAGTGTTTCCTCTTTCGAGGAAGTGTGACTTTCAACATTACCAAAGCTTTCATTTTTCTGGAGAAGTTTTTGTGTGTGAACTATTTTTATCTTTCTTTTTGATGCCACTGTGGTGCCTTCCCCTCAGCCTACTGCTTGCATTTGGCTTTACGGCTGGTGCTCTACCCCAAGCCATGCCTCCTGTCCATATCTGGTTGGTTAACTGGAGATGGATTGAGAACTTTTCTGCCAAGGTTGGCTTTAAACCTGTCCTCTGATCACTGCCACCTCAGTAGCTGAGGTTACAGGCATGGGCCACTGGTGCCTGGTAGTGCGTCTTTTAAACTACATTAGTATCTGTGTTTATTTGTAATTTGAGCTGGCCACGATTTGGCTACCATGAAGCCAAAGATATGGTAAATGGTTTGTAGCTAGCATCCAGATAGTTTTGGTGGAAATGTCTGTATATGTTAATTCATATGGTCTAGTCTTGTACACCTATGAAATGGCCCAAAATACAAATTGTTTAGCAAATATGTAATTCCTGCTAAAGTTCTGATGGTCACCACAGATCTCCTGTTTGTATGTATGCTGTGCTTTCTAAGGTTAATACATCTTGTCACTAGCACTCATTTTGTTGTGTTTCTTACTCATGGCTGATATTCTGCTTCTAAAGAGGAATGCTATACCTTATTAACTCCATATTCATTGTGTTATGCTGGAGTTACCTGGGTCGTTGGCTCTGGAAGACAGATGCAAAGTCCTCTTCCAAGTACGGGATTCAAATCTCGTGCCCAAGGATGCTTTTGTTTCTGCTGTGTGTGGTGTGTGCATGTGTACGTTAGTACCAAGGCTTGAACACAGGGCTCCGTGCTTTTGCTCAATGTATTGTTCACTGCTGGCATCTTCCCCTGGAGCTCCACTTCTAGTCCAGCATCGTGCTGGTTAATTGGTAACAGGGAGTCTTGCATCTAAAGCATATGATCAGTCTCCTGATGGTTTCCAACTTAATGTGTTATTTAGCTGTAGGAAGGTGAGAAAGTAATACCCTCCTGGCAGAAGCTGTTTTTCAGGTTCAACCTGGGACTGGATACCTGCAGCGCCAATAAGGCATGCTTTCCCGGCAGCGGGCATGCCACACTACAGCGCCCTGTGCTGCTAGGCTATGGTAGGCCATAGGTTACATGCATTGTGCATTTTTGACTTAAGTATTTTCAATCTACCATAAGTTTCTGGGGAGATGCGAAGCGTCTGTACAGAATACAGCTGGGCTGGTTACACATGTGTTCGCATTCCTTTAACTATCCCAAGCTTGCTTTCTAGACAGCCACTGGACTGCTAGGCTCTCATTCTGTTGGAACAATCCCACTTGTGAAGCATTAAAGAGGAATATCAATACTGGAAAAGTCTGGAGTTACTCTGCCATAGCAACAGAAAGCCTTAAAAACGGATTTTTTCTTCAAGAGATGAAAAGCGGGGCAAATGGATGTAAACCTTTGTAAAGGTCCAGGCATAGCAGGGACAATGCTCAAAGGAACAGAGGACAAGGAGAGCAGCTTTAAAGGAATTTAGGAACACTGAAGACAGCACCCTTTGATTCGCTGCTCTCCATATGACTAAAGGTATGAACTGGGTCTTACTGGCTACTTAGCTGAAAAGGGCTCAAATGACTCAGAACCAAGGGGATTAAACACTATGGATACTTGCTTTTGATTCTAGCATTGAGTGATTTATGTTTGGCTGACAAAACATACAAGAGAATGACAGCTTTAATCACTGCTGCAGATGGGCTGGGCAGTAAGAACATTCCTGAAGCGTGGGAAGGCTGAGCCCCGTCTGAGGTAAGTGAATAACCTCAGTACTGATTCTGCTCACAGTGTACTCTCCTCCCCCAGCTCTTCTTTCAACACACACACATTGCTGACAGACAAGAGTGAGCCACGGAAGTTCTGAGGTTGGAAGGTTCAGTGTTGGTGGGTAAGGGTTTATTAAACTCACCAAGTATTATCACTGGAGCCTGCAGTCAGCAGTGGTCGCCCTGGTCTGGAACAGGTTGACTTCACTGAACAACCAGGACTGTAGGGTCTTGGGGGGACCAATGTTGAGGCTCCACAGTGTAGAATTTAGGTAGGTAAGGGAAAGTAATTAATCCAATAACAATCAAAGCAAGTAAAGATCAGAAAACTTTATTAGACTCAACTGGAAGAAGACATCCATGGTTAAGCTGGGCAGTCGTCCTTATTAAACACACTTGATCTGCCAGAAAGCACTGTGTAGAGAAAGGCCATTAGGAGCACAGCCAGTCCATTTTTAAGGGGAAAAAAAAGGCTGAGGTCAATTTCAATAGTAAGAATTTTACTGTAGATGTTTGTACCCAGAAATTATCCTGTCAGAATATGCAACAGTGACACAGAGGCCGTGTAACAGACAGCAGGACCACATTCCCATAGAGAAACCAGGACTCGCTGCAGTAATAGATGCTTTAAAAGTCCACACAGCCCAGGACTACCAGCTGTGCATCACAAAGCAGCAGAGGCTACTTGGTCAATATAAAAAATCAGCAAGAAACTATAGTCTGGACATTTCATAAATACGGAATTGTACGATAAAAATTAGCATGAGAAATTATTTTTAAAGTGCACCTTCCCTGATAACTTCATTAAGTGTAATAATTATACACAAACATGATTGTTTTACAAAAGGCTACCTTACCTTGTAACAATTCCCAAATACCACGGTTTGCGGGTATGGTATGATCAATCACCATACTGAGAATATTACAATGTAACTCATACAATATTATGCTTTTCAGCTCGAAGATTGTGAACTTTTGGATAACCAGACATTGGAACTATGATGGCTTAACAAGAAACGTTGAAGTTTCTCACCATGTTCCACTTGAGTTATAATTCTTAGACATTTAGTAACTCAGTCTCAGGGCTTTTTTTGTTACAAGGCTTCACTAACAGGAATCCATTACTAAGTTATCAGCAGTAAGAAATGGTGTTTGGTGACAAGACACTGTCAAGGCAGTAGGTATTATAGTATGATACACATTTATATTTGTATAAAGAAATACAAAATTTAAAAATATACTAACTTATTGAGCTAGGAAATCTAAAGTTTTTCTGGGTAACTAAAATTATCCTTTTTTTAAAAAATGCCATATATAGTGCTTTAAAAATAAACTAATCCATAATTCTAAAGTAAAAAAAAAACAGTGAGATGGATATTTTTATAAAAGAGGAAATAAAGCAGAAGAAAGTTTCCGTCAAACATCCATGAGATCTGTGATGGAGCAGAATGCAGTAAGGGGCTGGCCTTGCTTCTTGGGGGTATTCCTGCAATAAATTCTTTTATACCAATAAAAGGGTGTGTTTGGCCAAAAGTGAAATTACAGATTATAAGAACCATAGGTTTTTCAATTAATGCTACCTTGATTAGGTAAGCATAAGGTCTAGTGAAGTATATTTAAATGAATGAGTTCCTTTTTAGAACAAAGGAGCTACATGAGATACAAAAGAAACCAGAGTACATTCTGTGTACAGTCTGCATCAGAAGTGCAAGTTACAACACAATTTTTGACTTGGAAATCCATTATTTAGGTACATTATTATTGTAGACTACAGAACATTTTATCAGCTTTCCATTTTTAAGGGCTTTTGTCTCCTAGAGAATCAGCCAAAAGGTAGGTAGAGCAAATTCAACCGTCTCAAAAGGAAAACTTCTATCCCTCATTCTATGGTAACATGCTTAATGATCAGGAGATGGAAATACACCTAGCTGAGTAGGAGCCTAGGGTTACTTTTGGCTCTTTTTTTTTTTCTATGCTTTCTCTAGTTCCATTGAAATAAAATAGAAAGAAAATAAACTGTAACTTAAAAAAGATACTTTTGGTATTTCAGGAAACAGTTTTTAACCTTCTTACATGTTCTTTTCTTTTGAAAATACTCCATTGTGAAGTGTGGTCCTGAGAGCCGTTTAATTTTTCCCATGCTCAGTCTACTATTGGGTTATAGTCTGTATCCGAAGCCCCAGTAGACTTCCTCTGAATTGTGCTGGCTGAGCCACCAAAACAGTGTGGACAGTGACTGCTAGCTTCACTGATGGGGCACACATTCACTATTTTGTCTTTTGAATTCAGGGCCCTGAAGTGAGGAGCATTTGGCACAACCTGAAGAATCAATAGTGGCAATGAATACCAAGGTACAGAAAATTCGGCACTGAGTAATTCTTCTTCACCAGGCAGGAACAGGACTTACTGAATACTATAAGATGCAAAGAAACCATCTTTGGAGAGGTGGGGATGGGCAGGTGAATGATGCTAAGAGACTTAGAGAAGTCCTCATTGGTGAGGGAACGGTGATGTTCAGCACACAGCCCTTGTATGTACATTACTAACACAGCCGCTGACTGTCAGAGGAATTCCTTTGCTTACTATTTTACTTTACCATAGGACTTGCAGGGTATTATGGATCTACATGTTCTCTTTGAAGGTTGAAATCATAATGAGTTATTTCACTAATGGCACTGAATGAGACTCAAGGAAAGCAACAGTCTTCATGAGCACAAGCTTTCTTGTTATCTCTGTGCCTAAGTTTGATTCTAATGTAACCAAAATTGGAGGCACTTAGCAACAGAAAATATGTAGCATAATTATGAGGACACAAAGTTATGTGAGTGGATTTGTCAACTTTTGAATCAATTTATGTTCAACAAAAAAAAAACATTCTGGGGAGAACTACTATTGATTTCCCCTCTAATTACAAAAATAATAGCAACAAATACAGTCTGGCATGCTGTTTTAGCTTTTACAACAAAGCAAGGGTTTAATGAGCCTGAGAATTTCACAATCATTGATAAAGAATTTGAGATTCCAAAACAGTTTACATATAGCAAGAACACTATACTTATTCTGTTCATATACATTCATCCCCTTTCAAAACTCCATTAATATTAAGGTGCAAAGATCCTGGACAAAAACCAAGAGAAAGAAAAAACCATAACCTGATTTTTACTAATGAGCTTGTTCATTCAAATAAGCTATTGCACTTTTAAGAATTCCTGGTTTGCTTTCTCTGTAATTGTCTATGGCCAACTGGATAGGTTTTGAGTTACAGTTGAGGATACACCTGCTTTTGTGATGCATAACTCAATGTAAGATGCTAAAAATTTTATTTCTTGTTACAGTGAGCAGAAAGTAATTAAGGCTTTAGGGATTTTCCTTTAAAAATACCAACTGCTAAAGTTCTGAGAGGGACTTTTTTCCCTTTTTGGATACATGATCCATTCTTTCCAGCCTTAAAGCTTGAAAGAGATTGTTTCCATAATCATGCATTTAAAATACATTCAACCCCCTTTTAATTTAAAAAAGGAGGAAAATAATACCAAAATATTTACTTTTAAAAAGAACTTTGTGATTCAAAAAAAAAAAACACCACCAAAGTTCTCTTGAGAATAATGAGGTAAGGTCATTTACCCAACACTCAGAAGACTGAAGCAAGCATGAGTGAAGTACAACTTTGCTCTCCATTGACTGACTTGTGGCAGTCTCTCCCTCACTGCAGAGAATACAATTCTTTTAAGAATCATAACCAGATGCATGATTCAACTTAGAAAGCTGAATGGATCAGACATCTTTTAATCGCACAGCCATTTTACCTGATTTTTTTTTAAGAAGAATTTAGAATACAGGATGCTTGAAACCATTCCTGTAATATTCTTCTTAATAAATGGTGGAAGGTACAGTATGGGACCTTATTGACGTGTGCTGGGTCTTTAGACAGTCGTCGTCTTCAGACGTTGGGAGAAGGTTCTCTTGCTTCTTCTAGCTTTGTAAGGATCCACTGTTGTAGAGAAATAAAACGAAATACAACAAAATACAATCAATGGGAATCCAGAAGGCAGCTTTTCTAGTTAAATGGATACTGATAGCCCAGGGACAATACTATTGGGTTCATCTTCAGAATAAAAATACACTGACCTGCTGCGCAGCAGCAGGCCTGAGCATTGATACCTTCTTGATATAATTTCAAAACTGACTAGTGTCCAAGTTGAGGAGCTATTCATGTCCCTAAATACTGTCACACAAACCAAAGGGCCTGCTTTTCAAATGAAAAGAGGTAAGAGTTTCCCATGTCATCTTCTCTCTCCACAGGGAAACCTAGTGCTGGGCAGTGTTTGACTGCAATCACCCCTGCTCCGGCCTCGTCCCAGGCACAAGGCCCTGGTGAGACTGGATGCTTGGGCCATGCAGACCTTGTCAACAGCTACCTTGAATATGGACAAATTCGCCAATTAAAAATAGAGTGAGTAGGTTAAAATACCCAAAAGCCAAGCCAAATTTCTGGGGTACAAGAACCTCATTTCACCTCTAAGAGGACATTTAGACTGAAAGTTAAAAGGCAGAATAGAATACTTGGAGAAAACTGAGGAGGAAGATGGTAAAGATGTCAATTCAGCTAAAGGAAATTCTAAAGGTATGTGCCTCCAACATTGGAATACACAAATATATAAATACATACCTAAAAGCAAAGATAGACTCCAATACAATAATTGGAGCTTTTCATAGCCTACATGAACAAATCATCCATGTACAAAGAAAATACCAGAGTTCACCTTTCTCCCAGTCCAAATAATTCTCTCAAGCATCTACAGACACTCCACCCAGGTAAACATTTTTCTCATTGCCACATCGAACATATTCTGTAACAGAGCATGTCCCATGTAGAAAACAAGTCTAAATTTTAAAAACCTGATTTTATATATATTTGACCATAGCAGCATAAAACTAGACAGACTATCAGTGAAGTAGACCCTGAGATGGGGCCCAAGCTGGTATGATTCCATTTTGAGCTTTGATTTTGTTTTAGGGATTTTAGACTTGATGGGCCTAATTCCCAGAATGAAAAAAATGCATCTAGTCCTCCTCCCCCTAACAACCTAACCCACCCTTGATTGTTGAGTAAAGACTGACCCATAAAACAGGTTGTCATCTGGCTCCAACTGGCGATACCACATGCTTACCGTAAACTACCTTTTGACCACCAAAAGGTAGACCTTTTACACCAAAGTAATAGGCTGGTTTAAACACTATAACTTCAAAGGTCACCTGTGTGTGTCTGGTATGACTGTACAATCCCATCGGTCACCTGGGCATGACCAGGCTCGACCTCATGAATTTTGCCTTTAAAAACCAAAGAATGGGGGCTGCTTGGGGTCGAAGTATCAGCTCCTGAGTCTGTGCTGCAGCCCTGACCTGTCAGTAGAGGAACCTTCTCAATAAAGTTGCTTCTTTGTTGCAGTGGGCTTACCTGCCTGAGTAGGGGGTCTTCCTACTACCTCAGTAAAGAGGAAAAAAAAAACCTTGGAAATTAAACAAGCTGTTTTGGAACAGTCAAAGAGTCATGGAAGAAACAAATCTCCTAAGCAAGGTAAGGTGTTACTTTAATCTCATAACCCTCAGCTATGGGGAAGAATAGGTTGGAAGACTGAGTCTAAGGCTAGCAAAAAGTATGAGGTCCTACAGGAAAAATTAAGTGCAGAGGGGTGTGGCTTCAATAGCAGAATGCCTTCCAAGTGGAAGGCCTTGAGTCCAAACAGCCAAAGTAATCTTTAACAACAACAACAACAAGAGCAAAAGGCACCTGATTTCAAAATGTACTAAATCCCTGTAATAACCAAAATAGTATGGTAGTGGAAAAAAACAGATACAGGAAAACCTAGAGATCAACTCACCCATCTATAGCCATCTTGTTTTTCATAATGTGCTAAGAAAGGATAGTCTTTTAAGCAGTGCTAGGGAAATTGGACATCCCTATGTATTACTAGATTTAACCATCAGAACAGAATGGAGTAAATACTTAAATATAAAAACAGACCATCAAACTACTATAAAAAGTTAGCAAGACGAAGCAGGGCATAATGGCATCCGTCATCCTGGCTGTGGAGGAGAGCAGTCCAGGCAGGCCTAGACAGCCCAAACAAAAACCCCCATGAGATTGTGCATGAAAAGTAACTAATGCTGAAAGGGCTAGGGGCCCAGAGCATGGCCCAAGTGGCAGAGTACTTGCCCAGCAAGCCAAGGCCCTAAGTTCAAAAACCAGTACCACCAAAATAGACAGTCCTCAAAATACAAAGGGCCAAGTGACTCATGAAAAAATGTTCAATATCACTAATCACAGAAATGCAGATCAAAACCAAAATGAAATATTATCACTATTAGTCTCAAGATTACAAGTACTGATAATGATACAGAAAAAAGTGATTACATGTACACTACTAGTAGGAGTATATACATACATTATAGAAAATAGTATATTGTTCACAAAATTAAAATGAAACTACCATATGATCCAGCTGTATCAAACGCAGTGAATTAAGATCTCTAAGAGACATTTGTACTCCAACACTTTTCATTTCTTGGCCATAGTGAATAATGCTACGACCCAAGTGCCCATGAATTGATGAACAGATCTAGAAATGTGGCACATGCACACAATAGAAAAACTCTCCCAACTCTACTATTTCCAACAATGTGGATTAAACTGGAGATTTTAAAAAGTGTAGTAAGCCAGGCAGGTACCATTTGATCTTGCTCAAATGTAGGCTATAAAAATGTTGACAGCAATTGGGACCTGCATGGTGAGTACCAGATGCTGGGAAGCGTAGAGGGGCAGGGGAACGGTGGATCCATGGCACGAAGATAGGAATAAGAAGTCTTGTGTGCTACTGCACAGTTGTGACTGTACATTTTAAAAAGCTAGATGACACAATTGTGTTAGTTTTCACCACAAAGAAAAAAATGAAACAAATCTTTCATCCAATTTAAACATTGCATAGTACCCCTTGAATAGGTAAAAATGTTTTATTCATCAGTTTAGAAACAAAATATTGCTTCCACAGAGAAGAAAAGATTGCTAGCAAAGATGCTTGTGCTTCTTTAAGAACCTAGTCAGAATAGTCTTGAATAAGTAGAAAAGCAAGCTCAGTAACTTTCTCTGAGTTACTGGTCAGAGCAGTGGAATTACAGTCTAGGATGAGGTCACATGATGACAAGGATGACAGAAATTTATCAGAGGCTGAAATAGGTATTAATGTTCTTCAGCAACATGAAAGAAGGTAGTCTAAAAAGTAATGCAGGTTATCATGATTTATTCTGTCAAATTAGGGCACCACAAAGGAGGTGTTCTTATTCTAATTTCCCAATACAGAAAGTCCAATGCAGAAACCAAATAACAGGTGGACAAATGGGATTGCATGAAACTGCAGAACTTCTGCACGGCAAAGGACATCGCAAGATCAATGGAAAGCTCACAGATTGGGAGATCTTCACTAGCCATACAACAGACAAGGGTCTCATATCTAAAATATACTTAAAGAGCTCAAAAAAATTGAATCCCCCAACAACAAATCCTCAAAGAAACAACCGCCTCATTAACAAGTGGGCTAAAGACTTACTTCCTCTTCAGAGAAATCTCTCTGTAAGAATGGCCAATAGACACATGAAGAAACGCTCAACACCTCTGGCAACAAAAGAAATGCAATCAAAACAACACTGATATTCCACCTCATCCCAGTTAGAATGGCCATAGGAAATCTAATAACAAACGATGCTGGCAGGGATGTGGACAAAAGAGAATGCTACTCCACTGTTGGTGGGATTGTAAACTTGTTCAACCACTCTGGAAAGCAGTGTGGTGACTCCTCAAAAAACCAACACAGAGCTCCCCTATAACCCAGCAATCCCACTTTTGGGCATTTACCCAAATGACCACAAACAAAGCCATACTAAAGCTATCAGCACAACCATGTTCATTACAGAATTATTTTCAATACTTAAGATATGGAATCAACCAAGATACCCTTCAGTAGATGAATGGATCAAGAAAATGTAGTATATATACACAATGGAGTTCTATGCTTCCATCAGAAAAAATGACATCGCCCATTTGTAGGGAAACAAAGACTTGGGACAAATCATTAAATGAAGTATGCCAGACCCAAAGAAACACAGGCTCCATGGTTTCCCTCATTTGTAATTAGTATATGTCTAGGATTGTCCTAGCAGAGGATCACAATAGCTCAATGTACCTATGACCATATAAAATGATGCTCATTGAAATGAACTCCAAGCTGTGGAAACAAGAGGTTTTTCTTTGTTGCTGTTTTTAATGTACTGTGTAAAGTTATTTCTTTTTTCTTTCATGTTCCCCACTTTGTCTCCTGTTGTCACTGTATTTGATTTTGGCACCCTGTGTCTTGTATATATGTTTATCTGATTTGGTGAAGGGAAGGGGAACATCACAACAGTGAATCAAAGGACAAATCGTGAACCCATGCAACATCAGCACTCACAAGACAATAGGGTGGAAATGAACTTTACAACCTGGTGGTAGGGGAGGGGGGAGGAGGTGACAATGTTTAACAAGAAATATACTCATTACCTTATGCAACTGTAACCCCTCTGTACATGACCTTGACAATAAAATTAAAATTTAAAAACATCCAATGCAGTGTCACAAATAGTTGTCCCAGTTATGATCAATGAGGTCAGACAAATGGTTTGTGGTCTTCATTTTCTTGCTGTGTACTCTTGTAACTACCACAACCCTTGAAGAACAGCCACATGTTCTTCATTTCACACCATTTCCATTTTGAGAAAACAGGTTAACTGATTTCCCTGAAGTTTCTCCCTCCTTCCCCCAAGGAATAGGCCAGCTTCCAAAGGCCAGATTTTCTGTGTGTGTGTGTGTATATGCATGTGCCAGTACTGTGGCTTGAACTCAGGGAGGTTTGCTCACTAGCCCTTTGTTCATGGCTAGTTGAAACTGGCCATGGAGTCTTACAGCTTTTAACTAACCATCCATCAGGTCTCAGCCTCTCTGCTGAATAGCTAGGATTACAGGTTCAAGGAGTATGGGTGGATGCCTAACAAAACCAAATTTTCTGATGATGAGTTTGGCACTCTTTGTCCTGTGCCACACTGTGATAATAATGGTTTTCTGGTTTTTGTTTTGTTAAGTAACTACAGTCATTCAGTAGAGAAATCAACAATATAGGGGCTATACTTGCTTTGCTGGAGCTGGTAGGCTAACACTAGACCAAAATAATTTCCTTTGTTGACTATGGAAAAAAATTAAAGTATTACAATAAGGTTTTAAAGAAAGCAAGCTGGTGGTACATGCCTATAATATCACCATTCAGCAGGTTGATGCTGGGGGATGAGTTCCAAGCCTACCTGGAATGTAATAGTAAGACCATGTCTCAAAAAGCAAAGAAAAAAAAAGAACTTCAAAAGCACAAAGGAGTGCTGGATCTACAATAAAAACTGTCCGTTGTTAAAACTAAAATAACCAACAGAACTTACCTGCTTAAAAAAAAAGTTCACTTAACATCGCTTTGAAGTAAGTCTCCTACCTGGGTTTAAATTAAGAGTCATTGTATTTACCCTAGCATCCTCTGGGGTCTTGAAGTTAATTATTTTTCCGAATTCTTTGGCATGGAATACAGATTTCACCCGTTCCTGTAAACAGAATCAGTCGTTTCATCACAAAGGAAGTCTAGTTGTAGAAATAAAAAAAATGCCATATAACTTTTAAGTTTATACTTAAGGCATCTACCCTACAGAAATCATGCATCTTAAAAAACCTAAGAGAAAACCAAGAAAGAGTAAAAGAAATGGAAAAAGGGCTATTTTTGAACATATTCAAACTCACTTTAAAAGGCTTATAGTGAAATTTCAATTGCTAAGATTATAAAAGGTTATACAGAGAATGGGAAGGAGGTAAGACTGGGAGGAGTCATCGTTTTTTCTTTCCAAATAATTTCTCATACAGCTGATATACTGCTATAGAATCTTGATCAAATCCAACTAAAAAATGATAATACAAGTGTGTGTGCACACGTGTAGCATGTGCATAATAATGTGTGTACAAAGTAAAAAAGGACTATTTCAATGTGTTAACTGTTTTATTTGAAATTATTCTTCAATGTACCTTTGCTTCAATGCGCAGTCGTCTCCCATGAACGATGAACGGCTCTTTGGTAAATTCATCAAAACTATACTGCCACTCACATGTAAGTTGCCCAAATGTTCCCTTTGTCACAAACAATACACCGCTGGGGAAAGAAAGAATCCACTTTAACAACTTATGAACTTAGATCCAATTACAGTTTGCAAGTGCACTGGAACATAAACTATTTTCTAAAACACTTAAAAAACTTTAACAGAGAGGAAGAGGAGGAATAATAAAGTTATAATAGTAAATGCATATCCTAGGGAAAGGAAAATTGAGGGGAGGGGCTGGGAGCAATGAGAGAAAATGATGAAAGAGGGTGACACTGATCAAGATACATACTTATAAACTGATTTGTTGAATGGTAATTCCTTCACACAACTACTTGAAGATAATGAAAATATAAAAATCCCTTAATGAATTTAGGGTGATTTTGGGGATGTGGCTCAGTGGTAGAGCACTTGCCTTGCATGCACAAGACCCTGGGTTCCATTCTCAGTATACACAAATGCACACACACACAGTGGGTTTAAAAGAACTAAAACCATAGGACACATTCTCAATCAGAATAAAGACTTGAAATTCCAAAGACTTGAAATTAAGACCGTTCTAAAGTAATCTAAAGAATATAAAAATACAAAATTATTTTCAAAATAAGGACAAACAAAATTTGTGGGATGTAACTGCATGTTTATGGGAAATTTATAGCACTAACATTCTTGAAAAATAGAAAAAATTGGGGCTGGGAAGGTGGCTCAGTGGTAGAGCGCTAGCCTTGAGCTGAAGAGCTGGGGGACAGTGTCCAGGCCCAGAGTTCAGGCTCCACGACCGGACCCCCCCAAAAAAAATTGTAAAAAATCAAACGTAAAAGTCCTTGAGTTTTATTTGAGACACATTTTGAGATAGGGCCTGAATAAAAAGAAACAGCTGCCTTCTGTTGAGATGCCAGCCAAGCAGGCTGTCCCCTTTCTTCTGTTCCTCATCCCTTCACCAGTCCTGGGTTGTAAGAAATCTAGCGGTGCTCCAGTCTAGCCAGGTCCAGAGGCTGGGCCACCATATATTTTTGCTATTATCTTTCTAGTGTCTTCAGGTCTATCTGAAGATGTCCTTGTAGCTGAGAATACTCACATACTGGACCCACTGACATGGTTGAAATAATTATTAAAACATCTGGTTAGTAATTATGTTTGGACATGGCTATGTTTGTAAGCATACACAAAGCTAGAATTTATATGAAGGCTTGCAGTACCAGCCTTATAAAAGCAACCACTATAACAGTATCAAAAAGCTGACCATGCTTGAATGGCTGCTACTTATTCCCTTGCCATTAGAGAGAGAAAGGAAGTTACCGTCTAGTTATCATGAACATATCTGACTTATTGATCATGACATGGGTGAAATATCTGTATTTTGCAAATCTTCCATTTTCCATCACCTGGAAAAAAAAAGGACAAGAGAAAATTACATAATGCCTTTTGATTTTCTAAAATGCATTTCTCAGTGGGGAAACATCATTTACTTACACAGTAAATATATATATATATATGTATGTGTATATATATATCTCCAGAAAACAAATATTCACTTTATTCTCATTGTTCCCTTTTTAAAAGTATCTACTGCATAGCTGCAGTAATGACAATTTTTACATGCTAGACTTATTAAAGATATTATCTTACAAGGTTTGAATTTGATCCAATATGGTATTTAACTAGTATGGTCATTTTCTTTACATCATATAATTTCAAAACCATATAAACATGTATTTCTATATACTCAAAACCTGGCATAAGGGAGGAATGTGGGGCTGTGTGTTGTGTCACCTCCTCGAGGCATAGCAGAATGCTTGAGTATCAACTGCAATTAGAGTGCAGTCACAGGCAGGTGTGTTTACTTGGGGAGCAAGAGATCAGTGCCGAATTACAAAAGGCATCAACAGCACTAAGATGGAGATATAAGGTGAGCAGTTACTAGTTAGTATGAGTTCCTATTCTGCCTATTCCCTGAAAATGTCCTATTTAAAAATATGCTTTGTCAACTTTAGAACTCATAGAAACATAAGCAATAAGTTGGGTACCAACAGCTCACGCCTGTAGTCCTAGTGGGAGGGTTACTGTTCAAGACCAGCCTGCGCAGAAATGTTTTCCAAGGTCCCTTTCTCAACCCATAGCTGGGCATGGTAGCACACAGGTCTTATCCTAAATGACGTGCGAGTCTGAGATTGGGGCTGTGGTTATAGGGCACTCCTGGAAGTCTGTAGGCAAAGTCTGTGAGACTCCATCCCGGTTATGATGACGCTTAAAACTGATGGACTGTGGAACAGTCACACATGCAGGCAGGAAGAGAAAGCCTGATCTCAAAGATAATAGTACAAAAAGGGCTGCAAGCACGTCTCAGCAATAGACTGCCTTTGGAGCCAGTGAGAGGCTCCGAGTTGGGGGCACACAAGGGACCCCAAGGCCTGCTGGGCCTACATTACAAATTTTATGTGCAAGACTACTGATGTAGATAGACATGTTATTGGCTGCCAACAATAATTTGCTTGTAAAGACCTAAGCATAATCTTAACTAGACAATGGTTATTTTAAATTGTGTTCACTATCATTTGCTCTGAGGATGGAGGCATCCTAGCTACTTAAAATATACAGCAGGCTAGACTATATATATATATTTAAGATAAGGCTTGTAATTGTGACAAAAATCCCTCAAAAAAGAGCACATTAACAATTTAGGCAAATGTTAGAGGTTTTGAATGAATTCCAAAAGAGGACAGAAAGTTTAAGAAACTAATGAAGAACCAGGAAGCCAACTATAAAAGACAAATTATTTAGCTTAGATGAAAGCTACAATGTGACTTCACAGTCATCTTGTTGAGAGGCTAACTGGTTTTCATTTTTTTAGAAACAAAAGTAAACAAAAATTAAATCATCAGGATGACACATGCAGACTACTAGCAGGAGGAACTTTAAATTTAAACTTTAAACTTTAAGTTTAAAGAGTATAAAATTATGAGGAAGAAAAATAGTTACTATTTATGACATCTAACAAGTAGGAAATAAACACTAATATAAAAGTGAAAAGGTGCCATAACGTCAGCAGGAGGAAATTCATAAAAGATACGCAGATAAATTTGAAAAATTAGGTGGAACAGATCAAATTTTAAGGAGATATAAACTGAAGAAAGCATCAAATACTAGAGGAGGGTAAAAGTTATTTGCAGATGACAGTACATCTATCACAGATTACATAAAAGTAATTATTTGGAGATGGAAAGAAAAAATCCTTTCTAAAAGGGTAATAAAAAGATTAGCATACGTATGTGCTAATCACATATGATACGTATTTGTATGTATGTTATATACAAAGGATCTGCAGAAGTTAGGTATGAGCTGTAACCCGCATTTGACTCGTTCTCTGAGTTAGGGTCTCATTCTGTATGTAGCCCAGGCTGGACCACGATCCTCCGTCTTGGTCTCTGAAGTGCTGAGTTTGGATTTGGCAAGAGTTGTAGTACTCTACTGAGGGGAGTGAAAGTTTTGAAAATGAAAATCCATGTATTATTCTTGGATATAAACATTCTCTAAGGGATTCAAAAATGGTGATTTTGTTGGCTACAGGATAGAGGACAGGAAAAGAAGTGAATGGAAAAAGTTAGTAAAATATCTGATAACATTCAGCAATTAGGAAAATGAAAATAAATTCATTAAAGGATATTAATACAATTTATAAAGTTATAATAGTGAAAATCATTTGGTGCTGGCAAAAGTTTATACTGACCTATCAATGGAAAATATTTACATAATGTAAACTGGCCAACATGTACACATTTGAATATAGGAATCTGTGACACCAAAACAGCCTTTCATGATAGAGGGTAAAAGCATGCATTACTCAACCAATGATTTGAGGCAACTCAAAGACTGAAGCAGGATCCTTCATTCTACACTAAATCAATGCTGCCAAGTCAATTTTACATAGACAAAATGACTATTTCAAGTGCTAGCAACAGCAACATTTTTGTAATCTTGGAGTGGAAAAGGCAAAGTCCATAAAGTCTAATAAAAAAAACCCATCAGTACAAAACAAACACTACTGGACAGCAATAGTGAATTACAAAAAAGGGTAAAATACCACAAAAACCAAAGGATAAACTTAATTTATTGATACAGAGATAGGTATTTCATAAAGAATGTAAGAAAATGCAAATAACAAAATACAAATACAAATATGAACAGGTAGTATAGCAAAAAATCCAAGATGTGACCAATAAATATGAGAAAATATTCAACTTAACTCAAAATCAAGAAAATGCAGGGCAATGAAACATACTCTTGAGTCAGCAATTCCACTGGCAAGACTGAACGTAAACAACAATGTGCCAAAACACCAAGACCAGACTCTTCACAGCAGCTAGCAAAAAAGTCTTAAATGCTCATTAGTTAGGAAATGCCAAATATATATGGTACAGCCATAGAATAAGACATGACGAAGTAATAAGGAAAAATGAACTCTTGTGTATGGAGACAGAAAAAGGTACAAGTGAAGGTACAAGGTATTAAGTGAAAAGGAATTATAGTACTGAACAGAATACATGAGGGGAAAAAAAGCACAAACAACATATATGTATGTATATAGATATACAAGTTACCGCCAAAACATACACACCAATCCGTTAATGTTTAGTATCTCTGGATTTGTGAAGGGTAATGGTGGAGACAGGAATGAATTTTTCATTTTAACTTTACATTCTATACTTTTAACAGTTTGTTTTTCTGGTATGTGAAAATAAACTATGTTGTAAAGAATGCTCTCTTTTTATGACCAAGTTTTGAAATGAAAAATACAAATGCGACTTTCTCAAGAACATGATTACTTCTATCATTTTTTACTTCTATTGAAGAGTCTATATATGCCATGGATAATTATACCCTTTAAGGAATCATGAATCATGAATCATGGTTCAACTCCAAATAAGCTTTTATATCAGTGTTTGGGCATTGTAGATGAGCCTACCTTTCATTACTCTTTATTTTCAGATCCAAATCACATAAAATCTAAGCTGAGTCTATTAGTAATTAAACAATTTCAAAAGTCACAATAGTACCTGGTATAAATAAAAGATTAAAAAAACAACAACTACTCCCCCTTAAAAAAAAAAAGAGCTGTAATCTTAGCTACTCAGGAGGCTGAGAATAGAGGTTCAAAGCCAGCCCTGGCAGGACAGCAGGAAAGTCCGTGAGACTCTTATCTCCAATAAACCACTAGAAAACCAGAAGTGGTGCTGTGGCTCAAGCGGTAGAGAGCTCGTCTTGAGCCTGAAGAGCACAGGCCAGAGCCCAGGCCCAGAGTTCAAGCCCCAGCAGGGTGCTTTGAAATGCAACTAATTACATCCTTTGTTATTAGAATGGTATATATGAATAAACATCAAAGATAATTAATGCAGAGAAAAGTTGTACTGCCGCTTCCATTAAAACCATGTAAGAAAGAACAGAATTATAAGCAGAATCCAAAACTCTGAAACTGAATTCACAGAAACATGCAAGAATAACAGCTTATCAGCTATTTTCATCTTCCATCACACTGTAAACAGATGTCACACTGTGGTCACAATGTCTTGCCTAATTACTTGAGTGTAAACCTACTAGATATGAAAATTTACACTTTTCAAAACATCATGTCTTAGAATTTTAGACCTAAAAGGAATGTCATTCATTCACACCAATTTCTTGCATTTTACACAAAGAAACAAAGAACCAGGTACATAATCAACAAATCCATTTAAATGTTGACAATAATTGTACGTAATTAGGTAAGATTAGAAGTGATTTGAAGTAAGCTGGGAAACTAGGCTCAGAACACTAGTTTTTTTGCTTTTAATTCTAGTGCTTTTCACTATTACCTGAGGATTTCTTTTATAGTGAAAGTCACATTTCCTCCTCTGTATATCAAAAATATTTGACAATCCAAAGAAGGTAGTTTCTGAGGCTGGTTTTTAAATCACATCAAGTTAGCTGAAATATTCTAGATTAACACTGTCCAAACAATTTAGTGCCAATATCCTATATTTCTCCATCTCAAACAGACTTGTGAATGTTTCTATTAAAATGATTTGTACTACCATTTAAAATAAAATTAGAAATATCAAGGGCAGGAATTACTATATTCAGTCATTTCATGAAGACTGTAGTCAGGCTGTTAGGATATGCATTAGTGTTAAAAGAAAAACAATTTTTGCCTTAGTGTTAAAAGTAGATGAGAATTACCAATCACAGTTTGGAAATTTCTAAAAGAAACAGACACAATAGAAACTATTCATTCTGACATGACTATGAGAATCTGTAAGTAACATTTAAAATGAGTGGTTACTGGTGAGAGTCCTGTTTGAGTTAAAAACAAAACAAATGTATAACGTAAGCCAAACCAAGGATACAGCTA